GCTCTGCGCAACCTGGGCAAAAACTCAAAGTGAACATATTTGACAAGAAAATTTGAGACATGACTTTGCATATTTCTTTTCTATAAAAGTACCTACTTCTGCTTTAAACAAGCTGACCAAAGCTAGCTTAAGCTTTGCTTGAGTTGTCAGGTGAAGGGATGGGTTTGGCTGGGCTTGCTAGGTAACAGGGCACCGCCCGCCGATTGTGATTGTGTCAATCACGCAGCCAGAAAACGGATGGGTGAGATTTTAAGCAGTTGGATGGTTCTTAGAAGCAGTTGAGACCCAAATGGCATTATAAAATTGTGCAAAAAGTTCATTTTGCATTATAGGGGAGCATCTAAAAAGGTAATATGGTTTGTTTAATTAGTATCAGAGTGAATCTGCAGAAATGCAAACTATAATTTGAAAACATTTATCATGAGTTGAAGGTTGTTGAAGTTTTTGCTATTTCATTTTTCAGTGAATTTTTGTCTGTCTGTTTACTTTGGTGTTCAATCATAGTCGTCAATGACAGATGTTTGGACTCACCTGTTTCAGTTGAAGCAATCACTCCTCTCAAAGTTCTTTGGTTCTTTTCAGTGGTCATCTCCTTCCTGATATTAATGGTATTTGCTTTTTGTTTATTCACTTCAGACTCTGAATAATTCCCACTCGTTGGATTTTATTTGCTGTTTGTCTCAGAGTTCTTGTAAGTTGGGTGCAGCTCTTTATGTTCCACAAACCTTTAATTTTACAAACCTATACATCTCTTCTTTCTTGTATGCAAGAAAATGGTGTACTCGCCTTCTTCCAGCCATCTGACTGATAATGTGTTGTACCTGCTGAGAACTTATCAAATGCTACATAAAGTCACAGAAAATGAGACAAAAATATTTTAGATTTAACTTAATTTTATCTCCTTAGAGAATGTTTGACATATTTCATTGAGGAAGATTTTCAGATATTATGTACCATCTCCCTGGCTATAAGTAAAGTATTTTTCAAGACAGAATTTATGTGGTATTTTTAATAAAGAGGTTTAAAACATATCTGTAAACAATTATTTTTAAGTTTAATACTTTAAAACATCAGAAAGATTGCTACGGATTCAAGGCTACACAATGATGCAACTGCTGCATTCGGCAACAAAAATAAATAAATAAAATACCTGGTCTTAATCTGAGAGGTGAGAGAACCCCAGATATCAGGTATTAAAGAGGATGTAATTAGTGGAAATGTTTCTCCAACTTAATTTGTAAGAATCAAAAGACTTTTTCATGTATTTATTTTTTAACTATGACTGCAAAAGCTGTGCTTAAAATGTTTCATATCCATTATGTTAACTTATATTATCTTCAATTTCCTGAGGGAGTCTTCCCAAGGGATCAATAAAGTACGAGTCTAAGTCTATGTCACACTAAGCTGCTGACACAGTGAAGCAAAGTATGATTGAACACTGTCAAAACATGAATTCAGTTTTGTCCATTGAAACCCCTTTTGACATGTGTGTTGAAAGTCCCATACATTAACAACTAAATCCAATATTCTCATTTTATTACTCACTTCTGTCAACTAGTTCACATCTATATGTATAAGCAATATTCTCAGGACAGTAGTAAAAACAGTATCAATTTCCATCAAAAAGCCAATGCATAAATTGTATGTTCTTTTTGTCTTCACAAGTATTTGCTCAGATAATTCTGCCTCCACTGTTTGACTATTAAGTATCACTCCTGCATATGAAGTGACAACAATTGTGCTTAGCTCATGGTTGACATGCACAAATACTCAAATACAACTAAATTGTCAAATAGAATATTGTCAACAAGTTGAAAGTGGTTGGAATTCTCTTATTTTTAATTTTTGTGGTTTATAGCCAATGAAAAGTCAAAATTGAGTTTCTCAGAAATTTGAAACATAACAAAAGCATTTTTAATACAAAATGAGCACAGTATCAATTAAGCATTGATTTTTACTCTTTGTCACAGGATTTGGAAACTGTTGAAGAATAATTCATAATTTTACATACAAACCTTAATATAGAAAAGGGAACCAATGAAAATCTCATCAAATTCATCTCATAGTGTAACAACATAATTCCTCATTGATTCTCGGTTTCTTAAAAAAGAAAAGAAAAAACCTACATGTTTTATTTTTGAATAGTGTTTTCTAAAAGGGAAATCAAAGTTCCAAAATAACCATTAATCCACAAAGTACCAAGTTTCCCTTCTTTGAATTTAATTTCTGAAATAAATTGCATTATTAATTATATACAAATTCATTAATAATGATTGGTATATCATAAAAGTTACTAGAATTGGTAAAAATACTCTGCATGTAAGGTTACATCTGACCCTGAAGAATGATCTTCATATTTAAACCTATACTTTATGTAAAAGCTTTAAATAAAGTGAAAAAAACACGTGGCGGTCAGACACTGAGCTGTTTGGTGGATTTAATTGAAAAAAATCTAATTCAGTTCAAGTGGTTCGCCAAAGAAAAGCTGAATTCCTGCTCGCCAATCCTATTTTCTTTTCAGGCACTGAATATTTCAAATGGCTTTGTGCCCAGGAGTTACTTTAGTCCTGACCCGTAGTATTAGCACAGTCCATTGCCTCCACTGGCAAAGCCAGCAGGTGAAATGGGCCGTTTTTGATTTGTTGGCATTGTCATTTGTTGACAATCCTGGAGCTAAGCTTCTCACTGCTGCCTCTCATTTTAATCATGTTTTAACAGAGTACTTCCTTTACCAAGTTTACTTTTTTAATTATTCTGTCAAACATCACTGTTTGGCCTTCCATCTACAGTGCAAAACATTTCTTTTTCTGTTTTGTTCTCTCACAAAAAGCAATCTCTCACGGGAAAGCTTCTCTGGATGCCTAAAGTCTACTGAATAATAATTCCCTTGAACAAATAATTGGTTGGACGTCCTGTCCAGGCTGTTGTGAGAGACAATTTATTTTTTTCAATATTACCTTTCAAATAACCACTCTCTCAAGATAGAAAGTCAAAACAAATTGACAAGTCACACAACAAATTATTCATTTTGCAATTTGTTCAAGAAGATTTAATGTTGCATTTTCTCTGTTTTTCTACACAAGGAGTGAACATTGCTAAAACACATCTGTTCTTAATAGCCATCATTAGTAATAGCCATCTCTAATAAGCACAACAATAGTAGTGTTACAGTTTTGTATTCACTTGCCAATGATAAGTTAAAGCAGTCTATGCATATAGCTGCTGTTTATGAGCAAATTAACATATTTAGATATATTTTGGTCTTTCTGCAATTTAAAGATAATATAATTCAGTCATCAGTCTTTTGTTTCAATGGTAATTTGATGACAGCATTCTCTGTTTTTCAACATTTAAATAGTAAATAGTTCTTGTGATGTTCAATACATGTTATGTTTTCTTTACTTAGAATATCCTAGATAAGCAGAGATGCTATTTCCACTCAGATAAGGATTTAAGACCTCCTACTACTCAAGTTGTTGTTATTTTCTTGGTTGGTAGTGAGAGTGGCAGGTGCTTCGAGGGAATGTAAGTGATCAATGAATGCATCGGAAATCACCCGCAGCTCCTTTTAATAATTAATCATCAACAGTAACCTCTCTGGGCATTCATTCACTACCTGCAGTACAATAGGTGGCCTACAGCAAGAGGTGACAGTGTGCTAATCAAAGCAACCACTTTTAACTCTATTTTGGCATTGAATATAAGAACAAAGTTTATTACGTCAGACATATTACTATTGCACAGACAACATTATATTTGATAGTTTCAGTGATTTCTATATGATTTTGCTCTTTTACATATTTTATTTATATGGCATTTTTCACTAATAAAAAAAACAAACATGGCTGTTGACATAATGCTTTTGTGTTGCATAAAAATTTAATTGTGAATAGAACTAAAAACAACAATTAATTAAATGACACATATAATAGCAGCTGGGCAAAGCTGAAATGGATAAATATCAATGCAGCGCTTTTTTTTACACCACACTTTTTTACTGTAAAAATGTGTGTGTATGTGTGTGGGTGCGTACACCCACACACACACACACACACACACACATATATATATATATATATATATATATATATATATACCTACAGAACAATACACACACACGTTATATGTTATGTATGTGGTATGTATAGTGTGGTCTGTAACACAACATTCCAATACAGATGGAAAAAATACATTTAAGGCTTTGATTGTAACAATTGTGTAAAAATATGGTTACACTCTTCAAACTCTCTTGTACTGAATCAATTTTCACAAGGAAATGATCAGAAAATATCCTGCAGTTTAACTGAAATTTAACTGAAATTTAACTGAACGTTAACACTGAATGTTTTTTAGCTTGAATATTAAAGCTATGTTTCATAAAAAAATGGATTTTCAGATAACGAGTTCTACCCTTTAAATATGCTAATTTGGATGCAAAGCAGATGCGGGTAAAATCAGTGACACTGACCTAGTTTTGCAGGTATTTTTACAAATAGAGCTTGTCACGGTGTCAGAAGCTATTTCACAGGAGCACATGGTGCTTCAGTGTTTGGACTTATATAGGAATGTGTCACTCTCTGATGGATATTTTGATGATATTATGTTTTGTTTGACATGACGACTATAATATACACATTGCTTCAAAACTTTATTTCATACAGAGTAAAACCACCTGAAGTAGCAGCCATCATAGAAGAAACAAAATGAGGTATTCCAGACAGATGGTAGAGCCATTCCTTTTAAAAGAGAATGAGATATTCACAATTAGGCAGGTTTGGTTACAGTGAGGTGAGTTTCCATATTGTTTCATCTTATATTAATTTTATTGGGTTTGTTCACTTTTTTCAACAGAAGAAAGCTGTATTTTGACAAGGCAAAGAATTTCTTGGTGCAGAAACCCCAAACAAGATTAATTCAATATCATTTACAATTAATTTATCATGTCAGTAAAATAGAAGCATAATCCCATTTATTCAGTGACTACTGGATCTCTGTTTTAGATTACGATGTCTGGTGAAGCAACTGGAGAGAGGAGAAGCTTCCCTGGCTGACCTCAAGAAAAACCTGGAGTATGCAGCATCGGTGCTCGAATCGGTTTACATTGAGGAGACAAGGTAAGAAAATCATTAATATTGTAGAAGGGACTGAGTTTAGGTGTGCTTAATTCTTTGATAACAACAGAAATGAAGCCTAGGCGTGAATTCAAACTGGAAGACTCTTTAGCCCCACCTGCATCATCCAATCGGCGCATCCCGCTGATCAACGACGACCTATCATCGCTGGACCAAGCCATGTCACAGCCAATCACCGACCATTTGATAAGGACGTCCATCCAAGGCGTCTTCCGTTTTGCTGCTGCGCTCAACCCACCTCCACCCCTTCTCCACCTCCACTGTCCTAGCTCTCCAGGCATACTTCATTCACTGACCTCCACCACCAGTATCGGGTCCCGGTGGATGACATTCCTATCAGCATCGGGAATGCTCATCTGAGCTTATTGCAATCACAGCTCCATGTCCTTAGCCGGGGCCCGAGCGCCAAAGACTTAATTAATGCATGTCAATATATTTTTCTAATCGCTTTCTTTCTGCGTCTGAGTCTCTCCAGATTGAAATGCACTTCTCATTACCAAACCCTGCAAAACTAAATACACCAATTAAAAACTGACTAGAAATATTTTGTTTTTCACTGTGGTTAGAGTTTCTTTATTTCTTTTTCTCATAATTTTTTTTAAATCTATAATTTATTTATGTATTTCATTTTTTCTTCTTTTCTTCACATTCCTGTTCTATTTTATTATTACTACAATAAAATAAGTCAAACTAAGTGGAAACTAACACTTTGTTGTTTACCATGCATAGCATTCAGTAGTATTTGGTTATTGTGGAGCTGTGAGCATCTGTGTGTCTGTCTCTCATAGCTGCTCTTATGTTGTTAAAGTTTTTTTGGTTACTTTTTGTTTTTTTGTTTTTTTAATTCTTGCATCACCGAATGTCTGCATGGCTAACGTGGGCAGCTGGTATGTACTTTTAACAAGACCTCACATTTAAATGATTGACAGCAAAGAGAATTTTGCTGCATGTTTATATATCTTTTTTAGATATAACTGAAGTTGAAAAATAAACTTGGTCTATAAATGTCAATAGTTGAGTGACAGTTAAAAATATGAGCTTTGACCAGGCTTTGGGAATTATGTAAACCTCTCATCATCTAGATTCAAACAGATTAGGGTCAGCGATAGGCTGACTCCAGTCCAGGAGAAAGGATGAAGTGCAGGATTCATGTAGTACCATCGTTATCAAAGGGATGTGAAAACGCTTTTTCTGAACGTAAACAGGCTTTGCTTTTGATCCTGGACACGTTAGTAAAGCTATGGAGAATTATGTCACCCAATAGGATTTGTATGAAGCCTTATGGGGTTTCTGTGATGTTTTGGATTTATCAAATATATGACATAACAGGTCATGTATTTGATTGACAGGTCTAGAGCTTCTATTTTATCCACAGTGAATCTCTTACCTTTCATCTTCATATTGCTGATCTTTTTTTTCTTGTAGAAATCCTTTCTGTCTCATACTTCCATCTCTTAATCCAGGCGATTGGTGGACACAGAAGATGAGCTCAGTGACATCCAATCAGAGTCTGTGCCTTCGGAGGTGCGAGACTGGCTGGCCTCCACCTTCACCAGGCAGATGGGCCTAATGCTCCGGCGGAATGAAGAAAAGCCCCGTTTCCGGAGCATCGTCCATGCCGTGCAGGCTGGAATTTTTGTCGAGAGGTAAAGTTTGCATGATGTAATAAAGCATTTTCACAGCCTCAAATGACCATGCAATTGCAGATCATAAATAATTTACATGGGCAGTCACTTGGAGCTGCAAATCTATCACTTGTGAGGCCAGACAAAAGCTGCCTGGAGGGAGGTAAAGAAATTCTATCAACATATTTAATTTGGCTCTGCATAAAACATGAGTAAGGACATAATTCATGCACTTTGTAACTGTAGGTGAAATTTACTATTTGATTTTGAGTAGTAAAGCTTTATTGGCTTTATGCTAATCAATCAGTCTGCTCTGTATGTTAATTTTATTATGAATTTACATGCTACGATTTAAAATTTGTCTGACGTTCTGAGATATGAGCCATGTTGTTTAGAAAAAAATACCTTTATTACACCTGCATTTCTTTTTTTAAACTTATGTCACCTCATATATAACAATTGAGCAGAATCCAAATGTCAGGCAGGCAGAATAGCTGCAAAAAATAAAAAGGTCACTGGTCAAACTAATAAAAAAGGACAGCATAAATAACCAGAACAACACAAGATATTGAAAAGGATTGAGGTATGTTACAAGGGATATATTTTTTAAACTGATACAATTTTCTCCGGAGTTGACTCATTTGCATCTTCGCTAGAATTCAATTTAAAAATTCAGCCTAAATATCGGTAAGTTTAAACTGAAATAACATTCCGAGTATGGATGAAACAGAGCTGAAAAGATGCTTTTTTACTTATGTTTTAAGTTTAATGGAAACAGTCTGGACAAGGTGAGACACACAGATACACAGCAGAATATCCCATTGTAAGTGTGAGAAGATGCTGAATGAAACCAATTTACCACATGTACCAAAGAGAATATTTACTATTGGCATTGGTGCACTATTAAAACCTTGACAAACCTGGCGAATCACAGCAAGTCAGCCAGTTCTCTTTCCAAGGTGGAGCTTCATCACACAGTAACGTGCAAAACCATGCAAGCTGTATAATCATTCTTCATTTACTTTCTCAGAAGCCACTCCACTGTTTCTATAAGATAACAGTGGGAAAAGGGAGCATAAGTGTAACAAGGGGAAACTATGTGTTGAAATCTAAGTTGTTGGTATTTAATTACATTTTAATGAGATTTAACTTTTTAAGATAAAGATATTATGTCCATTGTATTGGTTTGATGGAACTGAATAATGTTTTATAGTAATAGACCAAAGTTTGACTCATTGGACTGAGTCCAGTAAGTCAATTTTTTTTCTAGTCAGCTTTTTACTGAATGTCATTACTGATTTAATGGAAAACTACACATCTTATTTTGTCATTTTTGATCATTGTAAACAATACTCCAACCTCCTTTTTTTTTTTTTCATCTGGAAAAACCTGCAGCAATATTCAATCATTTGCAAACTACAGTTTCTTGTATCACTCTTTTGGTCTGAGTTGCAATTAGTTGATGGTTTAGTCATGGTGTGGGAACATCCCAAGCTGTGGTTTAGGGGCACTGTGTTTTGTTAAGATATTACTCTCAGCAAGGCTCTGTATTTGATGTCTTTATCTCATCCAAACAGGATGTACCGACGCACCTCCAATATGGTGGGACTCAGCTACCCTGCATCTGTCATATCTGTTCTTAAGGTATTAAAATATGCATACACACAAAAGCAAAAAAAAAAAAAAAAAAAAGAAATACAGCTCAGGCAATGTAAACTATTTGAATAATTTCTTTTGTTTATCTTCACTTTTAGGTAAGTCTATTTCTAATGAATTTCAAAAGCATCCATACCACTACATGTTTGAATGCTTCTTAGTTGGTAGCTTAGTATGAAATGGATTAAAAGGGTGCATGGTTTTTACATTATATATTGTGCACAGTTCGATATGCATTCAGCTCTCATGGTATTCTGGGTGATGTCTACCAGCGTAGAGAAAGTGAACCAATTGTTCTTACACTGCATACTCCAAGCTCAGTGTGATTGGATGGAAAGCACATGTGAACAGCAGTTTTTTACACTCATAGTGAATATGCTGGCATTTCTAACCCATAGATAAGCTCTTATCCAAATTCCATGGCAGTTCTGCTTTTATTTTTAGGTTCAATAGCTGTGTTTCTATTAGCCGGATAATTGCACAATCTAAAAATAAGTTTGCCTAGTGGAAACACACCAATTTCAAAAATATTGTTGTTTTTGGATAAAATGTTTTGGTACCAGGTGCAAACCATGAAGAAGACATGAAGTAGTTGGGAGGATCATTGTGTGCCATGTTTTTAATTATTTAAAAAACATAGGCGTTTGTATGTATTTTTTTATGAGGTAAGATAAAAGAGGTATCCTTTCCACTTCACTTTACAATTATGCTTTTTTTGGCCTGTCCCATAAAGTAATAATATTTTTATGAATTACTGCTTATTGCTTGAGAATTAAAGTTTAATTCTTTCTTTATTTTTTTTTCTCTCCCTCACAGAATGTTGACAAATGGTCGTTTGATGTGTTTGCCCTAAATGAGGCCAGCGGGGATCACGCTCTTAAATTTATATTCTATGAGTTGCTCACAAGATATGATCTCATAAGCCGCTTCAAGGTGAACTTTCAAAGATGTAACCTTCTGCATCACGGGTCATTTATGTTTTCATGCCATTAAAACAAGGTTAAAGAAGCCCTCTTCAAGCCTGACAAAAACCTTCTACATTTCCAAATTGATGAAGCAGGCACACAATTTCAGTCCCTTAAGACCAAGTTTATGTTGTTTTATTCCAGCAATGATAATTTTATAGTAGGGTTTAGACACACTTCATCTGCTTTTAAGAGTTGTGCAGCTCATTTTCCACAGCGTCTAATAGCTTATGACAATCCACTGGTACTGATAGCATCTGGCAGTAAATGACACAGGCTGTAAAGCAGATATGAATATGTAATCATAAGATGCTGTCACCCAAGTGATTCTGATGGATGATTTTATGGCAACAGTTTCCGATGCTGCACCCATTAAGTCACAAGTTAGCTTTAGAATTTGTGGTTAGTGTTAGTAACTCACAGACTCTTTCAATTTTGTTCCTTTCAGATTCCGATCTCTGCGGTGGTGTCATTCGTGGAAGCCCTGGAAGTGGGATATAGCAAACATAAAAATCCCTACCACAACCTGATCCATGCTGCTGATGTAACCCAGACTGTACACTACCTGCTTCTCAAGACTGGCATGGTGGTGAGTACAAAACATGTGGCTTAGATTACATAATTTGTCTAAGCTCTGAGCATCTACAGAAACAAGTTGAGCGTTGAGCTTGAGTTCCAACAGGGAAAAAGCATTGGACTGAAGCTAAGTCTGTAAAATGAAAGGGATTTTATCCCATTGGTATTCAGAACATCTCTGTCAGCTGACGTATGCCAGCCTAATTGCAGCTTTTCCTGACATTCAGTGTCTAAGCAGATAAAAATTTCGTAGATAGATGAGAGTATGTTGTGGTCTTTTTTTTTCTCCATAAAATTGTAGTTTATTATTTATTCTGAAAATGTATGGTCACTTCAAGAAAAAAAAGAAAACTACCTTGTTTTAAGATGACTACATTTTCACATGTTTTTGATAGTTTATTTTTATTTTATTTTTTTTTGGTAACATGTTCTGACCTACATTCTTCAGCTTCTCAGAGAAGTAACTTGAGGGCACATGTGACACAACATTTATTTCAAAATGAAAAACACAACCGTGACTTCAAAGTCTATGACTTTCCAAAGAGAATGCCACCCCCACTCCCACTGTTTTTACTTAGTCACCTTAATAAGGTGGCTGTGACAGCTGCCATCACGGTGTGTTTCTCTGGGCTCTGCCTTGTGGAGTAAAGTCACATTCATTCCCCGACCACAGACTCATGGGAGAGCAGGAGAGCAGCGTTTATCATTTTTAAAAAACCCTCCAGACTCATTTAAATCAGCAATCAGCTGGTCATTCATAAAACTGGTTTATGAAGAGTTACAGAGCAGTGGATTGACCATTTTGTCCCCACCCTGACTTTAATGACCTCACCACCCACTGTTGATTAATCACCAATATCGACCTGGCTCCCTGAGCTAAATCCCCTCACTGGGTGCGTGAGTGCAATCATGAATGCTCATCTCAGAGGAATTGCCCAATCACCATTGTGTCTTTTATATTTCATACACTCATTGGATCCAACTAATCCTTCAAAATGTAAATAAACACATGCACACACTAAATGTCAGGTGGTTGCTGGTCTATTCACCCCTTTACCATTTTTAATTTAACAATTTTGCAGTTTTGTTTATTTCTCAAATTTTAAGACGTAAGAAAATTTGATATAAAGTGAAAATGTTTGTGATAGGATGTAATACACCATACATGCCTCAATGTGCACTCACCCAGAGTAATGTCTTTTTATGACTCTAATAGATACCAGAATAAGGTGGTTTAGAGTTATTTTGGCTCAATTAGGAGTGGCAACCTGTCACACTTCATGTTAAACAACTAGTCAAGATAGACATCATAATTAGAATAGAAACAGGGTAAAATACTGTGTCTTCCAAAATACGATGCAGTAATTTTAAGAAAGACAGAAGAGACAAAGTGACAGCACAAAACTATAAATTGGAGGTTTAAGTTGACAAAGACTTTCCTTCAGACTCATGAGCCTCATATTGACTGTGACTACATACTGAGAAATCAACAGATTCATGCTGCATGTATTTTGGGATTTTACTTGACAAACCTGGAATTTATGTGTTTGAGTTAAAACTAACTGATTTGCTTATGCGTAATACTTGTGATCTTCTCTTTTGATGTTTGCTGTACTCAGAAACTGCTCTTAAAAAGGTCTGAACTTGACCTATGCGATTGAAAGCATGGTGTGTTCTGTGACCTTTTGATAGCATTAACTCGTAAAAGAATAACGGAGAGCATGACCTTTTTATATATTTGTGTACGTTGTGAAAACCACAGTGACGGTGAGAGAAAGAACAGTGGGAGGGAGGCTTATAGGATGCTGTTTCCCAATAGACCTTATCTTATCTCGAGTTCTCTATTTCTGCTTTCCTAACAGTTTTGGTACCTCCTTTTCCCCATTTGTTTGCTTTTATTCCTGATGCTAATGTATTCCTCATGCCAAATTCTTCACTGAATCTTTTATGTCTTATTTCTCCATCATATCTTTATGGCCTGCTGTGCTGTTCCCTACATTCCCCATCACTGGATTCTCATTTTTCTTTCCTAATCTATGTCCATTCTTTTCTCTTGCATTCATTACTTCCTCATCTTTCTTACCTGTCAAATGCCTCAATTTTTCCATCTTTCTGACTTTCTTTCTGCATTCCTCTGCTACATGATTTTCTTAATGTTTTATCCTCGCCCTCCGTCACATCACCTTTTCTCCTCCAGCATTGGTTGACTGAACTAGAGATCTTCGCCATGATCTTTGCGGCTGCGGTGCACGACTATGAGCACACAGGGACCACAAACAACTTCCATATCCAGACAAGGTAATGGATGATAAAATCAAAAATGCATGGCGCTGACTCACCCGATCAATGATTTCATTTGCAGCAAGGGGGCTTCACATTCATACTGTGATCGCCCGCAGTGCAATAATAACAAGATGGATTTGTAGACAAACTCAGAAGTCAAAGCTTTTTGTAAATGTTCAGCTTTCACTGTAAAATTTCAGAAAGTTTAAAACTGGAAGAAATATTGGCTTGCATAGTGCTTTTTAAAAGTACCCAAATCTGTGAACTTGTTCACATTTTGTCAGATTACCAACACAACAGATTTTTGTTTTTATCAACTTTAACTTCACAATTATACACTATTTTTATTCACTTCAGTTGTATCACACACATTCCCAAGAAGACGCTCTCAGGTTTGTGGTTAGAAGACGACAAAACTTGGAAAAGGTCGAAAAGACAAAACACAACTTTAACTTCTCTTAAAAAATTTTGTAAATTCTACAACATTTTGTTGTATCATTTTTGATAATAATTTGAAAGAAAATTGCTTTGTATATTGGGTGAAAGTTTATTTAAATTTTCAAGGAAGATGAGAAAAGAATGAAAGTCATTTTACATTAAATTTATTTTAGAGGCAGTATTTTCATCATCCAGTGAGTCAAAATTATATTTTCCAAAAACTTATATAAAGGTTAGCAATGCTTAATCTGATGTTGAATGATCCTCTTGAGAGTGAATTAATATGTATTAATTTCACAGGCGTTTTTGACACCTATGCAGACCAGTCAAACACAGTTGTTTTACGTTTTCTTCATTTGTAAGGTCAGACACAGCCATCCTCTACAACGATCGCTCAGTGCTGGAGAGTCATCACGTCAGTGCAGCCTATCGCCTACTGCAGGACGACGATGAAATGAACATCCTCTACAACCTCTCCAAGGATGACTGGAGGTCCGTTTCACATAGCGCTAATGTACTTAAATGATTGTAAAGGGAATGAAAAACCCCTTTGAGAAAGATTGCAGAAATCCATCATCCACCAATCTAAAGCCCCATGTCAACTGTATTTGGCATAAATGTGGCCAGTTAGATCATCCTCAAGGTTCAATGACACTCATGACTGAATTCACCTGATTCCAGGTGTACTCAAGCCAGGACCTGTTACTATAATTAGTTCTTATTTATTTTAATAACTGTTTTTGGAACACTTCAACCTTTAGAATCTACAAGTTTAATATTGATTAATTAGCTTGTAACTAATATTTTTTTTTCTCCCATGTCTTTTGCAGAGAGCTGCGTGCTTTGGTGATCGAGATGGTGCTGGCTACTGATATGTCCTGTCACTTCCAGCAGGTTAAAGCCATGAAGAACTATCTGCAGCAACCTGAAGGGTCAGTAGGTTTAAAATCAATTCTGTTGCTGCTGTTGCTGCTGTTGCTGCTGTGTCTGCGTTTACACAGCTGGAATGTGGTCCAAAAGTAATTTCCCAAATGTAATTTTTCAACTTCTACATGTTTTCAATGACAATTAAATTTAGATTTTTAGTGAACATGTGTATGTAATTTAGGTTAATGCAGTTCTTGCCTGACACAGAAACTGACAAGCCTTATGATTTACTATAAAGTAGATGATAGTATAAACTGGCCCAAGAATTGCAATAGACTATTATATTCAAACCTAAAAGGAATATAAAAAGCTCTGAAAAAAAACAGTCTACCAAAAGCAGAGAAATCTCAGAAACAGATTAAGAAATAATCTGAGATAATCTTTAAATAATTCCTCTTTCTCTGATCCTTTTTGTTTATTTTAGTTTCTCTTTCTTGTGCATATGAGATAAAAAATACTGCCTTGATAACACATTCAGTAAACAAAGAACAAAATATTGTGTAAAGTTCACTTGAAACTTCACTTCAACTTATAATGTCAATAAACATTTTCAGGCTGACCTGAGGTCTACTGTGCTGTGTGCAACTTCCAGTACTTCCTAACAGAACTTCCTTTTTGCACACTTCAAGCACAGGGCCCTGGAGATAGCTGGTTGTTGTACAACCAGATAAAGGGTTGCAGCTGGAGAACAGAAATAAAAGAGCTATCACACCAACTATCACATAACATGATGAGTCATCACTGCAACAGCTTCTACAATAAGGCGGCAAGAGACTTGTTAACCTTCAGAATATTCTTTTCCGATTATGACAACATCCAAAACATCTCCCAATCTATCTATTACATGCATATTTAATATATAAAATATAAATGCCCTTATATGGATATATATTTAAGACAAAAAGTGCTGACTGCAGGGTAATCAGTCCAGTATACCCCTTACACACACATATACACGTTTGCAGTCTGCAGGCAGCGGTGAAGCTCAAAAGACTTTAATGTGAAGTAATTCAAACTAGTGTGCTGCAGGCCTGCTTAGAGCACACTTCAAGACTCAATCTGCCACAAATGGAACACAGCAAAATAGAAGCCAGTCACTCTCACCCCTGTTTAACCTTGTACTGTGTGTACACGTGTAGAGTGTTTTTGTGTACTTTGTGTGTCTCTTCCATTTAGTCTGCCTCTTTTTCACATTTGTCTGTGGCTGTTCGTTCATGCATCAGTCCATTAAACAAGATATTAGGATATGGTTATCAGGTGATATTTTACACACCATTTCTGATGAGGTGGGATGATGCATCTTCATGCTGTGATCCAGGCCAGAGGACCGATTAGCCTAATGGTGGCAGTATGATTAAAGAGGGGTTTTTTTTCTTATCTCTTTGGATCAGCTTCTGTTATGAGTGGCCATTTAATGGCTTACATTAGAAGAATTATTTAGCATCCACATAGTGTTAAAATATACAGCTTAAAATGTTAAAACCATATATTTACATACAGTATATGCTATATGTATTTACTGTTTTAATGTATATTAAGCTTGTCTTGTTGATCAGTAGCTCAGTGCCATAACTAAATTGTTGCTGATTTACAAGCAACAGAGTAGAGAAAGTTTTTTATTGTGACAGTAAATTATTATAGCTGCAGTATGTAAGTTTTATTTTTTTAAAAATTGCTATACTGTCACAATGTAATGACAGTATAGCGAGACAGATAACATGTGAAAAAAATGAGCTCCTCTGCCTTCTCACAGTGTTCCCAGTGTTAACTAGAAACAACCAATCAGAGCCAGGAGGAGGGTATTAGTGCTGTCAATCATAATTATATACCTGCTGCTCATAAATCCCCTCAAACCTTCACCCTTACACTACATATTCTCTCCATCAGTAGAGCCAGGCATGAATGCTAGTTAGCATGGCCACTGATGACAGATAAACAATTTTCCTGAAACAGTAAGTTGTTTCTTTGCCTCTAGCCCATTTAGCAGCATGTACATGAGATTGACAAACTGTTTTTGACTGGTAGCAATGCTTTAGACCTTGTCCCTTACTGTTATTTCTAATTCACATACTTTCTATATTTGGTCATAATGCTTAAATTTAAACATTACTTTGCAACGTTGCTTCACTTACTGTCCCAGGTTTGTTTGTGTTAGCATTATGCTGAAGTTTCCATCTCTTGATATGTTTAGGTTAAAGCTACTGCTTCTGGACTATTGGTTGAATTTGTTTATTTTGTTTAAAAAATTGTGGCTTGGTCCACTCAAGTGCAGGTGAGTTGCTAATTGGCAATGAAAACAGTGAGTTCTTGGAAGCTCAGGTCAAAAGTCAAAGTCAAAAGTAACAAATAAAAGTAATAAGAAGTACCTGGAACTGGTGGCTGGTGCTGTTTTGACCACACTATTTTACAGCCTCAAGAAATTTAAATTGGAAAAAAAAATGGTCAGAGTACACAAAAGATAGAACAAAAACACAAGAAACAGTCATGTTCTATATTTTGACTTAAAGGCATTTTCTCTGTGTTATTGGTATTGTGTGACTGGTAACCACCTATTAGCCTTTATTGCAGTAGAAATAAAGCTGTCTCTGACTCAAGTTATTCTATTGCTTTATCTGGATATTGGGTGAAAGTGGATGCACTTCTCGGCATATAATTTAGGTACTTGTGTGTCATTGTTCTAATTATGTCACCTCTTAGTGCTCCTGGAGAGTTCCAAGCATGCATTGATTTTTAGAAGCTCTATGATAAAGCAAATATTGTGTTACTAATATTATGGCATGATTTTTGTGCTGGCGCTCGTTATTGTTTGAAGATTATTGTGCGAAGTGATCAAGTCGCTGAAAAGACTTGTATTATTTTATAAAATTCACTTTGCAAACAAAAGAGAACAAAAAACAAACACGCATTTCTGCCTTTTTGCAAAACTTTTTATTAACTTCATTCACAAGCATACATAACAATAATGAAGCTTTAAATGAGTGCAGAGAAATTCCCTAGAACAAACAGGGGCAGATGTTCTTGAAATAATGATCCTTTTTTTCTGCAATGATTAACTCCAAAGAGCAGCATAATGCCATTTTTCGTGAGCATCTAATTAGCCTTGCATGCAAGGAAATTAGTGCAAACAATATTGCTATCAAATAAAGCAATATGTGATATTGCTTTATCAATATTGCACTTCTTCAGATTATAGAACTTCAAGAAGAAATATTCAGTGGCTGTAGCGAAAGCTTCAGCATATGAAAAGTTACTGTCAAGGTCTAGAAAATTGGGCTGCCTCTAGTTTATAGCTTGCTCAACTTCAATATTGTTCATCTGTAAGCATCATGATGCAAAGACTTTTTGATAGTGGTCTTTTTACAAGGGCAGCATAGAAACTTCTTTTGTTCAATAAAAGTTTTAAGTTTAGACTAAAAATATGCACAGCAGAGACAGTAGAACAGTAGAAAATTGAGGCAAGGCTATCTCCTATCACAAGTTATATTTTGGAATGTTAGAAACCTATTTAAATTATTTTCAGTCTCTATATGGTACTGATTCTGAACCGATGAGGTGGGCATGATTTTATTCGTGGCAAATTTTCTATTGCCACGAATAGAAAATTAGATAAGATTGTTTTCCACTTCTTCCAACAAAGCATCCACAAAGTGGGCCTGAAACCTGCCAGTTGTCAGAAAGTAGGCAAATAAAGACAACGAAGGAAAGTCAATACTTGAAATATTCACAATTTACATAAATTTACTGTATTTGCTGGTAAACTCCAATAGAACATATAGAATATCGAACTGACATTAGGGCTATATCAACTCTAACGTTGGCACGGGCCTATATCATTTCTAACATGTTGATATTGGTGCGATACATAAAACTGGGCTGTTATCAAACAATATTTATTCCCATCTTGTTGCCATTTGTTTCTGGGGGATGAGTGCTGGTTGGGTGTTGGTCATGTGGTATTTGTTTTGTCAAGTGACAGTGATGCAGCACATGACTGTGGGGAGTTTAACTGAAGGACAAAAGCAGTGGTGAAGTCAGTAGTGTGGTCAAAAAAGTAAAAAAATATATATATACATAACGTATAGTATATGGATGAATATCAGTAATTGGCCATACAGGTTCGAAAAAAAGTAAGAGACCACTTAAAATGATCAGTTTCTCAGATTTTACTTTTTATAGGTATATGTTTGAATAAAATAAACATTTTTCTTTTATTCTATGAATTGCTGACAACATGTCTCTGAAATTCCAAGCAAATATTTTGTATTTATTTGCAGAAAATGAGAAATGGTCAAAATAACAAAAATGATGCAGTGATGTCAGACCTCAAATAATGCAAAGAAAAGAAGTTCATACTCATTTAGAAATAATACTAATGTTTTAACTCAGGAAGAGTTCAAAAATCAATATTTGGTGGAATAATCAGGAGGTTTCCAGTAGGGTTCAGTGCAGTGGTTTCTTAATACTTTCCAGAGCTGCAATAATATTGCATATCAATATCGGCCCAAATGTTCATATCAGTGCGTTCTTACTTTTAATCATTGGTTCTAGTAATTGATTTAACTACCCAAGAAAATCCACTTTTTTGTTAGGCAACTCTACAGCATCGTTCTCTAAACCATGAAATGCTTAAATGTCCTTGACATGCTGACTTGAAGATAGCAGATTCTTTGGTGTGTGTATGTGGGAGTGGACTCCTTCCACTCCCACATACATTCGTTATTTTTGTTTCAAAAACTGAGGATTCTAAGTGCTTTTAAATTTGAGACGCTTCTTCCATGGTGATGCACACAAATTTGTCCTTGAAATACTGGAGATATCAAAGAATATAATCATCGGCGTTGAGCTTGCCTATTTGTCTGCATGAGAGTGGTTTCAGTGGTTTCATCTACAGCCCTGACTCTGTCATAGCAATAAAACTACAGCGGGTCTGGTTTTATATACAGAAGGAAAAAGAAATGTCTTTGCTTTTATGATGCGGGGTATTAGAGTGGCTGGTCTTTAGCTGTTATGGTCAGATGAAGGAGTTTTTTTTTCAGGCCCTGTCAGATGACAGGATGTCTACAACACAAACTCTGGTACTCTGAAGTCGCACATAGCGATCTTGGAGCTAAAATTATCTTTATTTAGAGCCTTTTTGTGCTCAGTCATTCCAGCTGCCTCTTCTTCTTTCTGCATGAGAGAGGACAGTGAAAACGCAAGTTTAAGTTGCTGTGTATACTGATATAAACGTTGAATGTTGCTCAGGCTGTATTAAGGGCAATGATTGAAGTCTGCAGTGACACTAAACGGTGTATTGAAAATCTTTGGTTTCAAGGAGGTTGTGAAGTCTGTGTGTCTAGAGGCATGAGAGAGCAATGGCGCACATTCTTATGAGTTTACCTTCTTTACAGAAAATTGTTAAAAAAAAAAAAATTGGCTCTGTCCAGGGGTACCTCAATCTAATCTCCCTTCACCTCGAAGCAAGAGATCTTTTTCATCTCTGACCAAACATCCCACACACTGTTCTGCCAACGATTACTCTCTAGCTTTTCACTGTCAACAACGTTGCACTATCGTTAAGCTTTCTGAGCTCACTCTTCAGTAACTCTCTGTATCTCACCCCCAGACGGCTCTTTTCCTTATGTTCAGCAGCTTTTTCAGATAATGACAATCTAGGGCTTGTTATTGTGGAAGCGCCTCATTGTACTGCTGGGGATTGTGCTCTCCACAGATAATGCAGTTTGTCACATAGTCATGGCATTGATGTCACCACAGTGTCACACACCGAGTGAGTTCCAGTCTGTGGCCTCATCATAGCGTTTTGGAGTTTCTTCAGCTTCCATGACCACCTCCTCACGATTCGTTTGATCACCGGTTGGTGCTGAACAATAGGTGTGTAGGTGGAGGTGAGAATTAGATGATGATGACTGTGGCTGTTCATATTATTCCATAAAATGAGAGATACCAGAGAATTTTGACCAACAGCTTGAGTTGTTGTACTAATTATAGTGATTTCATCCAATTTAAACGAAAATCTCACGAGAATATGTTCTGTATAGCTGTCAATTTTTTTTTTTTTTTTTTTTTTTGCCTTTTTATAATTTTGCGTTGTTAAGCAAACTTGTTATAAAATAGTTTTCAATGCATATCAGGTTTTTTTTTATTTGACAATTTTGCCATCACATAATAACTTACAAACCCTGAGCTTTGTTTTTCATTTGGGCTTTGTTTATGTTTTGTCTGCACAGACTATCGTTTAACCAACTGACCTGTGTTATAGCTTGCTTCCATACTTTTGTCTAACCTTATATTTAAGGTTGTTCTCCACCATAAATAAAACATTCAACACTTCTATATCTTAGAGAGAGAAATTAAGTATGACCTTCCTTTTTAAAAAAAAAGATTTGTGTCTGCTTTTCTTTTTCTTCTTTTACAGCATCGACAAGCCCAAGGCTCTCTCCCTACTTCTCCACACAGCCGACATCAGTCATCCAGCCAAAAGTTGGGACCTGCACCACCGATGGACCACTTCTTTGCTTGAGGAGTTCTTCAGACAGGTGAGTGAGTTCTCCTGGCATTTTCACTGGAAGATTTGGTGGCTTTTGAAATACAAAAATTATGTGTTGATGTTAGTACGACGGTGTTTCTTTTAGACAGGTAGTGTTTTAGTTATTTGTTACGAAGACTGACTCAGAAAAATCGGTTGGTTGACTGAAAGATTGTCATACCTTATGCAAAATTTGACAATTGGGTGTTAAATACCCCAATTTTATCTAAAAAAAAAAAAAGAGATTTGGGTTTATGGTGAATGTATACGCCCCAAAAAAGCCACAGGGTTTGTTGAAATTCTGACAAGTTGTTGACATTCTTGAAAAAAAACATTTAATCAGCATCACCTAAATGAAGTAGAGAAGTTTTTGAAACAAAAGAGAGAGGCTATGAAAGTGAATCTAGATTTCTTTTAATGGCAGATGAAGTAGAGGATTCTACAATACAGCTGATTTATTCTGTCCCTTCTGTTCAAGTTCGAGAATAAAATGATGTTGTTAATGAGTAACTGTTTTAATAAAGAACCTCGGCAGAATATTCCGTCAGAAAAAAAGTCTTTATATGTGGGTTATGTATTCATAAATATTATTTAAATAATGAAACAGAGACCATGGAAGATTAAGATGTGCAATATGTCCTACTCAATAAAACAGTAGTCTATGAATTATAAAATATGTATTTGTAAACATTATCGAAAGCGACATAGGTGTAAATGATGCACCAATCCATTCATCTATTTCTTTGTAAATATTTATTGTTCATTTTCATTGTCATTGTCATCGTGCCTGCTTCTACAAGGCCTTTTGTCTCTTGGGATGTGAATCGACAACAAATAGCTTCTCAAGAGAATATTGCCTCTCCGTTGCCCATCTAAGTGGTTTGTCACAAACTGGAGGAGAAAATGAAACAGAATTGTGGCATGAAAGGACATTGGGTGGGGCTCAGACAAATCGGATGTCTGATGTGTTTGTGGTTGTCTGTGGTGTATTTTTTTTTTCTTTTTTTGGTAGGATCCAATCTAATGTCCTTTTACTGTTGAAATTGATGTGTTTCTAGGGGGACAAAGAAGCCGAACTGGGCCTGCCGTTCTCTCCACTGTGTGACAGAAAGTCGACATTGGTTGCACAGTCTCAGATTGGTGAGTGGCTTCTAACGTTTTGCTTACTTTTGTTAGATCAAAAACAAGAATATAGTTAGGACTGAAACAATTAATCAAATTAATCATGCGGTTCCAATCGTATTGAAATAATTGCCAACAAATTTAGTAATTGGTTAATCATTAACTGGAGTACACAGATTAAAAACGTCCATTTGCTAAAAGAAGATCAAAACAGTCCTCAAGAGGCGTAGTCTTGATGCACCTGTTCAAGTACTGTAAAAATAATGATGAAATTTGTTTAATTAAACTAAATTAATTAAACATCAGAAAAATCAATAGAATAACCGATAACTAAAACAATCATTAGTTGCAGCCCTATTTTTTGGTAAATAAAGGAAATGTACAAGAAAACTGGTTGAAAATTAGTCAAATATTTGTGGACAATCATGTTAAAGACGCCCACATAATTCTATTTTTGCAAAGGGAATACAATGAAGGATTCTGAAAAAAATACTGTAATTAAGTTGTTTATGTCTGACATTCTGGGTGCGTGTGTGACTGAAAGAGCAGCTTTGGTTGAGACAGATGACCTCTGTCCAAACCAACATAGAAAACATAAAACAGTTTTGAAGTGCTTATTCCATTTACATTTTTTAACATCTATTTTACATATTATCATCATGCAGTTTTCAGAATTCGGTCAGAGAGGGAATGAGTGTGATGTCATGCACTAATGAATTATTATCAATCACAAAAGGACAAAATTACATTCCATGTTATATCTGAACACTAAAATTACACCCGACCTGCTCACAGCAGCTCTACTGATTCTTTTCAGAGTCCAACATTTGTTCTCTGGCCCAAGCACAAGTGGGATACGAATGGAAATTTGCAAGTGAAAACATCAAACTTGTGGGAGCTTCCAGTGTCCGCTTTCAATTTTTATTGATCAAAAACAATTATGTTGATCCCTTGTTGTTGCAGTACACAACATAGGTTTGTCTGAGCTGGCCTGCCTTGCAACAAGCTGGCCTACCATGGGTTGTTTACTAGTAAAGAACCCATGCTGAGCATTGTCTAATAAATAATTTGTGACATAAGCAGAGTTTGTCTTGGCACCAGGAGACACTCATTGCTCAGCTTGGCTCTTCGGAAAAAAAACAAAAAGTGCATCTATATATTTTACCAAGAATTCACCATAAGCTTCATCTATACTGTATGATCTGTCACCAACTGTCAGAGCGACTTCTGCAACTGAACAACACCAAGAGAACAAACATACTCATGAAACAATGCACGCTAGTAAGTTTATAACATTATTTTCAATTTAGATACACTATTGAAGGTATTTGTTGTGGTTTTAACCCTTCCCCATTAATTGTTTTGTATTTGTTATTTTGTTTTGTATTTATTTGTTATTTGACAGCAATTCTTCCTGAAATGTTTGTCACCAGGATTCATAGACTTCATCGTGGTTCCCACCTTCACTGTGCTGACTGACATGATGGAGCGCATTGTCACTCCACTCATTGACGAGGCCTCCCACTCTGGTCTTTCTACCTTTAGACGCTCAAGGTAAGTTGTGAAAGAAATTTCTGGTGAAAGTGTTTGTTAAATGCTTTCTTGGTAGCGCAGCAATCAGAGGGCGTTCTGTATAAATGTGAATAGATTTTAATCTTCCAGGCTATTTAATCAACGATAAAAAAAAAAGTTCTTGTTTTTGAGTCTTCACCTCTCAAGTCTTTCTGAGCAACAGCTCGCTAAATTGCATGACTGAACCGCTACAGCTCTTCTGCAACAACAGCATGTCTAATGGAAGTATTGAGAACAGCAGATGAGTCTCCCATGAGTAATCCATTTCTGTGCATGGAAATGTCTCCACCTTTCATCTTGCGGAGCCACACACCTTGAAATTGGCATTTTAGAGACGCTAGTCAAGCTCTGCTCATCATCCATGATCATGAATGAGCCTTCAAGCTGGCCTGGCTTACACATTTGCCTGAGGAGATACAAAAGGAAGTGATTTTCTCTCCACTGCTTTAATTTGTTGGCTCAGTACTTTTTTCCAGTCTCCTTGTATATCAGCTACATGCAAGGCTATGAGAGGTGGCACATAAGTAAGGCACAGTTCCCTTAATATTGTGTTTTTAACAAGTGAGCTGCACTGGAAAGGATTGTTTAAAGGAACTTTCCATCTTGGAAAGCACTTTTATTGGATAATAAACCAGTCCTTTAACTGTCTGGCTCTGCAGCCATGCTTACAACTGAATATAAATTTGAGCCCAGCCTTTCTCTTCTGCAGTCATCATTACCATTACTCAGTGAGGCTCCAGTTGAAGCAAACAGTGTAACTTACATAGTGCAGCTGTGCTTATAGTCACCTGGGTGTTTACAGCTTTCCTCATGCAGTTTATTGACAGTATTTAACTCTGTGCCAGTAGTCTGTAACTATATCTGCTCTTTCAGTCTTCCTTTGTTTATCTACATTGGGTCCGTCCGGAAAAGTTTTCACAGATTTTTACTCTTCCCACATTTTATGTTACCTTCTCATTCCAAATTGTATTAAATGATTCTATTTCCTCAAACTTTTGCACACAAATACCTAATTATGACAGGGTGGAAATTCTTTTTGGAGATTTTTGCAAATTTATTAAAAATACAAAACCAATAGATCACATTTATGTCACTATTGAAAGCTAGTTAGACCAGCACAGACAGGACACATGAAAAACAAAAGGGCTCATAGACATTTTACTACTTGTGCTTTATTTATTGTAATTTATCCTTTTTCATATTTATTTCCTTCAAGTTATTTGTGAAAATATTAACATCAGTATGAGTTTCATTGTACATTTAGTAGCAAGAAAAATAGGAAATATCATGTATCATTAGCAACTTCACTAAAAGGATACAAGTGGTATTCAATTAGTTTACAGTTCAAATCTGTTATAGATGCCTCTCAGTTTAAACTATTTCTGTCAATTTGTTGTCTTCTTGCAGTTTTACTGTTCATCTTTTATATATTTCTTTTCTTTTCAGTCTGAACAGTATTAGCTCAGATGAAACCAAGAGGCACAGTGTGAAGAGCATGGGATCTGACAGCAGCTCCTCTGGCCAAAGCTCCCTTCTGACGGTGGACATTAAAAACTTCAAGGCCTTGTGGAATGAGGAAGTTTATCAGAACAGGGAAAGATGGAAAGCCCAGGCTACCAAAGGTACAGTTTAACCTTCACAGTTCATTATATGCAGAAAAATGTATAAAGCTATACAGACCGTAGCATTTCTGATAGTGGGAAAAAAATGGAATATAAAGATGAACTGGTTTTAGCTTGAAGCGAAGTTTAATTGAGTTTTACTCAGATGTTTATCTCTCTCCTGGGCAAGCCATTATTTCTCACTTTGTTTTTTTTTTTGTGTAGCAGGTAGTGTAAACAGACTAAGTTGGCAGACATTCTAGCCAACGTTGTAAGGTGTTTGGCACTTTCTTGTTTGTTGGCACTAAGAACAAAGTGAAAAGTCTGTGATAATTGACTGAAAGGAATAAATCAGCAAAACATTCGGAAGTCTATCTGACGTTAATATATGGGCTCAGATGCAAAGGTTTGCTAAGCTGATCAGGCCAACTCAAATGAAATCATTGTTTGAAGCATGTTTAATGTGGAAGAACTGGACAATTTGGTTGTTGAAAATGTTGCACTTCTCATTTGCAAAGCTTTTTCTGCTGGTGAAATGTATGAGCCAAAAGAGGCCCAGTTCTCCTTTTTGAATGTTGAACAGTAACATTCTCTTGAAAGCGAGTTTTAACTGCTCTCTAGTGGTCAGAAGTGTAAATGGTTGTTTAAACGTCAGAAGATTTTAAGATCTTGCTTTGAATGGAGTCTGAACCAGAACGAACCACTTAAATTAAGTCAATATTAGCTGACCGATAGAGGCTCCACCTTGCCAAACAACCTTAATCTCTTATGTGACTCCAGAAGCGGAAGAGAGAGCTAAAAAGGAAGCAGAAGAACGGGCTCAGCAGGAGGAGGCTATGGAACCGCAGGAAGTCCAGACAGAGCCTGAACAGAAGGAGAACAAGTCAGACGGCAAGGTGCTAGACTCAGCAGAGGTCAGCAGATCACCAGATGGAAACACAGAGGAAGCAAAGCAGGCGAACCCCCCTGGGAACACGTCGCACCAGAGTCCCCTGCTGCAGAACGGTACGTCAGCTGAACTTTCTAATTCCACTGGTGACAAAACCTCAACACCGTGATCAGAGATACAAACTGGTCTTGTGTTAAAAGATGCACAGGTCTCAGATTTTATGGCAATTTTCCAAACTCCTGTTTTGGTGAAGCTTTTACCTTCTTTAAAGAACCACAATTAACAGCATTTAAAACATTTCCTTTTGACCTTTCAGGGAGTCTTGCATTTTACATATATATGTCAGTGTAATAAATAAAACTGGTATTTTGGATTTTCAGGTGAGTTGTCAGAGGGGGGTGATTCTCCTGATGGTGAAGAAAACAAGAACAAAGGAATGAGTGGTGGGTTTAAAGTGACAGTTGTGAATTATTGACAGAATGCCAAAGTGTCTGTCATAAAGATCTAATGAAACATTCAAAGAAAAACAGATGTTTATGTGCCTGAAGGAATGAACACCATACAAAATAAAACATCGAGACAGCAAAATAGGGAGTCGTCGTAATGATTGACATGTAAACGATGGCTTTGGTAAAACTTCTTTTCAAAATGTCTAAAGTATGTATCCTGTTGTATCCAAACAGAGGCAGTGATGGAATGACAGAGCAGAGGAGCATCATGGCTACACTGATTCTCCCCTGTTGCTGTTTAAAGGTTGAAGTCGGACTCTGCTGCCCTCTACAGACGACTGAAAAACTGACACCTTTGCTTCCTTTTTTGTTCATGTGTTTGCATTTCAACAGCTTGTATCACATGTATCATGTTTTCACCATTTATAAACAGTCAGGTGCATTATTCCTTCTTTCCTGCTTTTTTTTTTAAATAAAAAATTGTGAAGAGGTTTATTTCCATCTAGTGGCTATAAGAGTGTCACCACTGGAAAACTAGTTTGTTTTTGTGGTAGTTTGGGCAGCGTTCTTTTATTTACCTTTTTAATGCATTTTTTTTTTTTATTCAACTCTTGTAGCTGTTTTAAAAGTCCCACTTCCACATTCTGGATACATCTATATTAGATTGATTTGTTGGGAGATGGGAGTTAAGAGATTTGTTGCGACTTACTACCATATATGCAGAATAGATGCATATCTATAGGGAATTCTACAATGCCTATACTGCATGTAGATTATATGTCTGTACAGTAATTTGAGATTCTTGCCACAGGTCTTCAGCACTACTGTTTTATTACCAAGTACTCCTTAAATAAATTTAGACTAGCTTAGAAAACAATTTTCCTTATAGTGCTCCTTATGGTTGCTAAAGCCACAAAAAGAAAATATTTTGTGTGTTTACTTTCTTTAACTTTTTTGCAATTTAAATGCATTTGTATTCCTTACAGCCAGGTATAAATGGTTTTATTTTTTTCTGTGTTTTTCTTTTCTGTATATATTAAATGTTTATTAATGGTTGAATATGGAACATCAATCCATCAGCCATCCAGTGAGGGAAATATTTTTGAGATAAAATGTAAGATATTTGTGGAAAAAAAAAAGTCCAAAAATTAGAGACCAGCCTTTTGCAATTTCAACATATCACATGTGCAGATGCATTCAAGTTCTTTTTTTTTTTTTTTTTTGTAAATACAATGTTTTTGTTCATCTATTTGAAAATATATTTGTTTTGCATTAATTTCCTGTACAATTTATGCACTATTTGTGTCTAATATTGTCACATTGTGTGTTTACTTGATGCCTTCTGATGTGTTTTGAAGCAGTAGCAAGAGCTCAACATTGTTGCTAAAACTTTTTCAGTGTTCATTTTTGCTTTTATTCTGCAGAGCAGTTTTGTCAAAGCAGCTTCCCCTTCTCGGTCGCTGGTGTGACATTCAATCAGTGTGTTTACAGTGTGCCCATACGCCACTTAGGCTGCCGAAACTTTCACGCTTCTGCCACGCATCTGAGGCTGCAAATCCAAAGCATATCTGCTTCTCTTTGCCAGGATTTCAAGGCCTGTAATATTGTATATAAAAGATGTACTTATTGCACACTTTGCATATGTACCATACTGGACATGTGGGTCAGTTTTCACTTTATGCAGTGCCTAGCGAAGATATTTATGATTTGTATCAGGTTTCCACTTTATGTCGTGTTGGAACCACAAACTTTTATTTGTTTCATTTGGATTTTTTTTGCGACAGAGTAATGCATCGCTGTAAAGAAAACAGTTTTTCAACATTTTCTTCGTATATTTGTATCTGAAAACTGGGCACATAAATCCTGCCCTGAATCGCTATTTTCTACAGCCACCAATACAGCAACTCACTAAGAGTAAATCAAGAGCATTTTCCTTGTGTTTAGCTTTAACTCATGTTCTCATCACCTCTGATTAGCTTCCCATTGGCTCCTAAACAGAAGTCACCTCAAAGCATGATGCTGCCCTCTCCTTTTGCCATGCTGCCAATTTTTATCATGCCAATTTTTACCATGCTGTGTTCATAATAAAAATTGCATGTGGGCCAAAATCTTTTGTTTATTTTCTTCACCTTTTTTCCCAACGTGTTTTAGGCAAAGTAAAACTGCAGTTGCTATGACTTTCTTTATGATGATGGATTCTGTAAATGCTCTGTGAGATGTTACAAGCTTGCAATATTCTTTTATATCCCAGCCCTGCTTTAAATTGAGACGCTCATAGAAGAGCTGGATTTGTACTGAAAATAAAGTGCAAATATGGACTGACTCTAATTAGGCCAATTTCTGAAGCCAGTTGTTTGCACTGGGGCTTTCAGTCATTTTCTTCCCACTTCAAAAATAATGCTCTATATCATATAAAATTCCTTTATAATAAATTATAGTTTGTGGTTGTAACACAACAAAATGTGAAAAAGTTTATGTTGGTACCTTTGTAATGCACTGTGCGCATTAATTTGCAGAAAAGAAAAGACACATCTGGGCAGTATTTGCTAAGTGATGGACGTTATTTTCCTTAAACCTCAAAAAAGACTTTCTATGAAATTAACCACATTTACTGTGTGAAGTTTAAGCTTTAGAAGGTACCTGTATATATTGCACCACATAGTTATATCCAAACATTTTAGAGGCTTGAACATTTAAAGAAATTGTGAAAACATATATATGAAGTGAGGGAAAGATTGTTTTTGTATCTATGTTGTTTTTTATAACCAGCTTCTGATGGGTTACAGCAGTTTCTCATGCACTGAAACCATATGCTACTTTCCATCGAAAAGATGCAGTCAGTGGTTAGCAAGCCAGCTGGCTGAATGTGTGCCTATATCTGTTCTTTCCATGTCACACGTAACACCTTTAAACGTGTTCAGTGATGTCGTTAAAACCTGCGCTGATCCTGGTGCAGCTGAACCGCGAGTCGAGTTCTTACAATTTTTCACACTTAGGATTCAGCTGAGACTATCTTGTTTTTAAAGATTAATGTTGCAGAATATAGTATTTTTAAAGCTAGATATTGCGCTATATTTTGCTCACTTTCATTCAGAGAAGTCTATTTTACAGCTAGGCAGTGTGGCGTAATGTCCGTTTTTCAGTTTTATTCTGCTGTTTGCGCCTTTTTATCAGTCCTCTTGTTTTATCTTTTGTCTCCCCTGTGTGTTTGTCTACCTTGTTTTTCTTCACCAGCGCTGAAGTCAGAAAAAAAATAAACTGTCAATGTAACGTGCAACAATCTTTAAATATTAAAAATAAAAACATAATTGTAATAGGCTGCCTGACGCTTGGCAAAGCAGAATATATTTTCTGGACCAAGAGACCAACACATGTACAGACTTGTAGTTTTTGCTCTACGTTCTTCTAGCTACTGTGATAGCCTATAATATATAAACATTTAACAGGACACTATACCATCCACCATAGGAACATAGCTGTATTGCTGAGCTGTAAAGACTTCTTAATATGGTGTTTTGTTCTGGTTACAATCAAACCGTCTGTTTAATGCTTTGTTTCCCTGTTTTATCTCTCTGTAATGACTGATCTCAGCAACCAGTGATCTAATGACTGAGAATAGATGGATGTAACGCATTGGTGCGTACGCATGTGTATGCGTGTGTGTGTGTGTGTGTGTGTGTGTGCGTGTGTGTGTGTGTGTGTGTGCTGCACAAATACTTAACGTGCATTTCTGATCTCCTCACTGTGACCTGCTCTGTCAATGAGTGTGATTAGATGAGTGGCTGTGAGAGAAAGAGGATTAAACAAAGAGATGCAGTGGACTGTGTAAATCTGGCAAAACAACCCATTTAAGATACAACAGTGATGTGTTTTAAATAACCCAATTGGCTGACAACGTTGATTTGTTTTGGTTCATAAAACTGTAGCAACACAATATTCATTACTCAAGATCCCAGCTGGAACATGCTAGGGTACAGAAGTTTATGAATTGTTTTAAAAGCTGGTAATAATTGTCCTCTGCCTCTCTCGAGTGGACAGAATGACCAGGAGCGTGTGTGCGTGCGCGTGTGTGAGTGTGAGCGCACATGCATGTGTGTGTCACTGTCCCATGCTGGCCAGGCGGCCATGTGTGCCACCATGCTCTGTGACTGCACAGCCGTATCAATAAATCTGAACTCAAAGGGCTCAGATCATGTGTGCCTGTCTTCATTTCTGCACCTCTACCGTAGAAACTGCAAGTGTGACATTTTAAATTCTATAGATTTCAACTTCTAATCCGTCAGCAGAACAGATGCACATAACACTAAACAAAAATGCCTAAGCTGTAATAATGTAGGATTTTCCTGGTATCACTACAAGTTCACAATAATGAGAATTTCACTGAAAAGTAATCGTTTTCAGTTTATTAATTCAAAACCCAAATATCTTCATTCCAGAAACTGGTGAGTTTCCAGAGTTTATTACACTATGTCACTTGAAATGATCAATTTATGAGATTTTACTCTTTATAGGTATATGTTTGAGTAAAATGAACATTGTTTTTTTTTATTCTACGAACTACTGACATGCCTCCAAAATTCCAAGCAAACATTTAGTTTTTATTTGCAGAAAATGAGAAATGGTCAAAATCACGAAAAAGATACAGCTCTTTTATACCTCAAATAATGCAAAAAGAAAACATGTTCATATCGACATAGGATCAACAATACTAGTGTTTTAACTCAGGAAGGGTTCAGAAATCAATATGTGGTGGAACAACCATGAGGTTTTCACTGGGGTTCAGTGCACTGGGCTATTATTTGTTTTGCAGAGCTGTATTTATACATCAATGTCTCCTACAATCAATAATGAGGAAGATGGCAGGTAAGGTTAGAAAATCTCTGAAAGTCAGTGAGATTGTTCTACTAGAACTAAGCATGTGTCCACTAGATGTCTCTGTTAGACTTTAAATCTCACTGAAACATCTGAGGTATCACAGCTCTCATCCTCAGCAGGCCTGTGGCGGTAAAAAGAAAGAAAGATCAACCAACTTGATATATACCATGTCAATCCCCAAGACAGTCTACATGGTATAACTCTTTATTCGTTGTGCAGGCAACTCCACAAACATTAGACACTGCGCATATTTATCACTAGCAGCATGCATATTCATGGGCAGGTTGATGGAGCTCAGAGAAGGTTTTCGTATGACTTCTCAGCACAGCGCTGAGTGCCGGAGCAGAAGGCGAATGTTAATTCAATTATATGGCAGCTGTTCCTCAGCGCCTATGGCCACTGTGTTTGCACTAGAACAGAAATCTTGTATTAGGTTCCTCGCCATAAAAGACCAGTGCCAGGCGTGTGAACAGGGACTGCCTGTAACCAAAAGCTATCAACAGTGTTTTAAAGAGATTTTAATGCTTATTTTCTGGCCTTAGTGAGATATTTGGAGCAGCTGTAAAGGAAGATTTGTTGGATTTCTTTGTTCTTTTGGCTCACTGTTGATTTACAGAGCTGCTGGCTTTTTTTTTTTTTTTTTTTTTTTTTTTTGTCGTTGCTCAATTAAATCCACTTGGTAGTAAAATGTGTAAATGAGTTTCTTTGCTGTATTAACTCCAGTCAAGGGTGGCTGGATAGAAAATGTGTCCTGTGGAGTCTGCTACATCATTTTGTCAATCTTTCTCTGGCTTTGTGTGTGTGCTGTAAGTCATGAGTTTTTAAACCTAGAAAGGACAACATGTACGTTTAGATCCGCTGTATTCGAATTGTCTCTTTCTTAGATGACAAATAAAGTGATGAATAAGTACATTAAGCAGCATTAAACAAGGTTCTTACGTGTGCGTGTGTACGTGTGTGTGCGTGTGTGTGTGTGAGTGTGTGTGTCCATGCTCCACCCAGCCTGATGTCCCAGTCTTGGACCGAGCTCCACTGCTGCTCATTGGAGGGAGAGTAGGAGGACGTGAGGGGGAGGAGGGCGCGGAGGCATTCACCAGCTTGTCCCCTCATTAAGCTGCACCTTGAGACTCGCTTCGTGTGATTTAATCACACAACCACTGCCTGGAGAAAAGCTGCACAGATCTTACCTGGACCTGCTAATCAGTTTGCTTTTTCTTCCGTTCATGAGAAATCAGCCACACCTGCAGAGAGATTTGCTCTGAGGGCTCTGAACAGAAGCAGCAGAACATGGGCTAAAACTTGTATCTTGTCCAGCAGCACACACCAGCTGGAATTTATAATTACATCACTCTAAAAAAAATCAAATCAAATCAAATTTTATTTGTATGGCACATTTCAGCAGCAAGGCATTTCAAAGTGCTTTACATCATAAACACAAGAACACAAAGTTATGCAACATAGAATAAACAATACATTGTTACATATTACATTTCAAATACAACTCTAAACAGGTGTGTTTTTAGTGGAGATTTAAAGGAAGTCAGGGTTTCTGCTGTTTTACAGTTTTCTGGACGTTTGTTCCAAATTTTTGGTGTATAGATGCTGAAAGCTGCTTCTCCTCTCTTGGTTCTGGTTCTGGGGATGCAAAGCAGACCAGAAATAATGACTTGAAGCTGTGCATTGACTTTAGATCGTTCCTCTTTAGGTCCAAAAATAATGACTTCAGTTTTGTTTCTGTTCAGCTGGAAAAAGTTTTGGCACATCCACATATGTATCTGTTCTAAACATTTATTCAGTGATTGGACGGGGTGAAAGGTCACCTGGTGACATCATAATGTAGAGCTGTGTGTCATCCACATAGTTATGGTACCTAATATTATTTCCTGTTATAACCTGAGCTAGTGGGAGAATATAAATATTGGATAAGAAGGGTCCTAGGATTGAACCTTGGGGTACCCCACATGTGACCTTTGACCTCTTTGATGAGAAGTTTCCAATTGAAACAAAGAAATCCCTGTTCTTTATGTAAAATTCAAACCAGTCGACCACAGAACCGGAGAGTCCAACCCAACTCTCCAGTCGATTCAGTAATATGACTACAGCAAAAGTTTTTGTTATTCTCATTTTACAATTTACGATTATATCTTGAATGAAATGACCTATTTTGTTCTATTCTATAAACTACTAAAAACATTTTCATGATTCTAAATTGTCATTTGCAGAAGGTAAAATAAAAAAAATGAGCAAAAATGGAGAAATGAATAATTCAAGGAAAAAATATTTGTATCCGTGTTTAAAAAACCTCAAATTATTTTAATCTACGGAGAGTTGTGAAATAAATATTAAATGAAATAATCCTAATTTTTAGCTAGAGCTTTCAAGTGTATTAACATTGGGTTCAGGTGACGTTTTTGCATTTAAATTAAATAGGCAATGGGATATAACAGATGTCATATTTGTAGAGATGCTATATTTTATATAAACAATGTGTTAAATGTGTTAAAATATATATATATATATATATTTGTGACAAAATATTTAGCACCATCTATTATGAAAATTATTCATGTCTGAATATTGAAACAGATTTTTTTGTAACAGTGATTTATAAAATCATTCAGTTGAATCATCCAGTCAATAAAATTCTAGAGCAAAAACATAAAATTGTGAAACACATAAACTGTTTTTGTGAAAGTCAAATAAAATATCATTGTTAATAAAACAAAACTCTGGAAAATGTTTAAGAAACAAAAACAACAAAAATAATTGCCAAAACAAAAGAGAAAAATCTTAGGACTCTATGACATTATTTAAAACAAAAACAACCGCAAAGCAGACAAATGTTAAAAATGTTTCATTTCAAATTTTTGTTTGATTTATATCTTATTTAAAACAGTTTTTGTGTTTTATGAAATGTGCTTCTGCAGTGAAGTGGTGATCTCAGGGAACCTTTTAATTGAGTTTTATTTACTTGCATCTTTTATCTGATATTGTTGTCAATACTCTGATTGTTCCCTTTTTAATGTCAAGCTGCGCATCAATAAACCATCACACCCTTTTCCACCCTTATATGTGGCCTCTTAGGAAATTGTCCCCTAACTACAGCAGAACTGACAACATGTTGTCGGCACTTAACCACACACGACCAATTGATACAGCGTGTAACATAGACACTGCATATCAAGCTGTTTAATAAAAATGAAACCCTGTCTATCCATTGGAAAGAGCACAGAGCTGCATTTAGAGTGACTGATCGAGAGCCCAGAAGCAAAGGGGCCCTGCGCCTCGAGCTGCTTGTGAGTCTGGGAATCGGCCCAACACTTAAAGAGCCAAGCTTCCCTCCTCTTGACTGGGGACAACCTCCGAATAGGAAGAAGCTATTTCTCCTGGCAGCCAAGTGGCTCGTTTTTTTTTTTTTTCTGAGTTTTTTTTGGAAGGCTGTCAGGTGAGGATTGGTGGCTGCCAACTGTAACCCCCTCAGGTGGGCGCAGGGGGCAGGACAGACGCCCATCATGGCTGCAGCATTGTGACACGCAGCAGATGATGCAAGCCGCTGAGGGCATTGGGCTCCCTGAAGTCTCCAGTGAAAGATTTGCATTGAAAGACTCTGTGGCTGCGATGATTAGAGAGATTGCAGCATCCTGACCCTGACCGCAAAACTGGCAGCAGCTCATTTGGATTAACGGCGTAACAAGTTGTGAGCACTGACATTACGGTAAGTTTATGTGGCAAATTTGCAGGCAGGCGTTCAGCACTTACAGACATGTATGATGTGTTGCTGAAACTCACTGTCTGTGTCAGTTTTATTAGAAAAACAATAAATCAGCCACTGATTAAAGCAGATACAAATGAGGGCCTTTAATTAATAGAGTAAATGTTTGTTGCAATCCTTACAGTGTCTCTGTGACAGTAAATTTGACGCGACTCGAGGCTTTCTGGCATCGTTATGGAAAAGCCAGGAAACAAATGGATCATTTTATAAGGCAGAAATAATACAAGGTTTGCAAAATATTGTTTCAATAAGTTATGCTAATTCTCACAATTTTATAGCAAATAAGATTAAAGGAGTCCAAATAAAATGGAGTCAACCTGATGTTTTGAAGGCTTTTGGGTCTTGAAAGGGTTGACAGTTCATTCTTTAAGTTTGTACATAATTCTAGATATTTACAGTGCTGCAGATTTTCTCACTGATTCTGGTTGTTTTCAGTGTTTCTGTCTTTTGTCCAAACTTAAATGTTTCAGTTCAAATTAAATTTTACATCAGACAAAGATGACCTTTACAAACAAGTTACAATGTTTAAATTATTATTGAG